GCATATTGTTCCAATAGACATATAATGCTTGATGATATAAAACCACTAATTAAATTATGGCTATTCACAAATCAATTTATATCTTTTTTTTTTACCTATGAATCTTCCTTTTGGACGAAATGGTTTTCATTACATGTAGTCAATAGCTAAAGATAAGTTGTTTTAGGCTTACAACACAAGTTGATAGGTTTGTTTGGATGAGCTAATGAAACGAATAATTTTATCGTAAATGGTAGGGCTCGAAATGGGCCAATTTTTCGTAGCCCGACCCAGCCCAATAGACCCGAAGGATATTTCCTTTACCAAGATTTTTTTCCCAAGATAATCTAGATATCATTTCGTTTGTTTTAGTCTATGTCAAAGATTTTCTGTACACATAATTTTGGATATATAAGCAAATATTTTTAACTAAATTTTGCTTTTTTCCTTTTTTTTTTACTTTAAATTTTGTCATTGTCCAAGCACAAAATTAGTGAATAATTTTTGTCATTTCTTAACGGTTTATTCCAATATACTATTATTTGTTTAAAACTAAAAGATGGTCAGAAAGTTTCAACCCCTTTTAGTAAAACGATGGTATTTATGACAAACTTATATGCAGTTAATTGTTCGAACTATGTGATTTTGTAGAGGAAGAGAAGAGCATATCATTTTGGAAAAAAGATACTTCGAAATACTCAAGCGTAAGTTAATGTTATAGCCATCTTACTAATCTTGAGTGAATGTTTTCATCTCACATTTTTTTTCAGAAAAATATTAAAAGAATGGTTTTTTGATAAAATATCTAAATGATTTATAAGTTTAGCCTATGGATGTTTTGTAAAAATATCAATAATCACATTTCATGATGTGTTGACCTTTTTTTCGGACGATTCAGCTCTCCGATAAACTTATAAATCACTTAGATATTTTACCGAAAAAACATTTTTTAAATTTTTTTCTGAGAAAATCTAAGCTAAAAATATTTACTAAAAATTAGTAAAATAACAAAAGCATCATCTCACACTTGAGCATTTCGAAGTATCATTTTTTTTTCAAATGATAGCTCTACTTTTCCTCTACGAAACCGCATAGTTCGATCAATTAACTATATATAAGTTTGTTACAAGCTACAAGTTTTCAGAAAGAAACAATGAAATGAATCTGAAAAATTATCATCAATAAAAGCTTATAAAAATAATTTTTTTATTTATTATTGACACTCATTTCCACTGTCTTCATATGAAAGATGAAGTTACAGCCTCAATGAATGTTTTAATATTGTAATAGATAACACAAAATGCATCAAAGAAATTGTAACGTAGTGACATTCAATATTGTTGTTTTTTCGTTTCTGTTATTTTCCTATTTCTTTTTCGTTCTGTCTTCGTAGTACGCCAAAAGTATGTATATATATATGTATTGTTTTTCTTTCGTTCTATGATATTTCTCTTGATCTCAACTTATGTGTTCGTTATTGTTGATCCAGGTCAATAAAACGTTATATTTGACCTTGACTTTATTCTATATTACGTAATATATATAAAACTTCACTTTGTCGTATTAACCTGAATACGTGACAGAAATCGATTGCCAAAAAGCAAGAGTTGAAAATAACAGGTTGAACTTATCTTTTGCTTAAGAGATAGATAAATCTGTTTATTAATTGATTCGGTAATTAAATAAAATGGTTGATATAAATTCAAAGAATAGAATAAATAAATTGTAAAGAGACAAGAACATTCGTCATATCTTACATTGTTTCCTCCTCGACTTGTTGTCGAAAATCATAGTTCGTCTTACAGCGAGACAACATAGTTCTCAAAAAATCGGTTTAAAATGCATTATTGAATTTAATATGAAGGTAGATCATTAAATTATTCATTGTGTAATTTCTTGTTATTGCATAATTATTTTCTATGACTCATAAGTAAAGAAAAAAAATCTCCTACTAGTATTTATATATATAACTTGTACATGAACAAGTCTTTAAATTTCAAAAGAAAAAAATCAATATGGCGAATAGTATGGATTTATTACATGCAGCTGAATGTGGTCTATTATCTGTAGTTAAAGAATTATTGTCAAATAATAAGTCAATAATTCGTTCTTGTCGACATAATAATCATAAAAATCATGCTTTCAATCTCGATTCTTCAGCAATTCATTATGCTTGTCGATCAGGTCATTTAAATATTGTTAAATATTTATTAACACAAGATTCAACAATTGTTAATGATCGTGATCGTGAAAATTGGACACCATTACATTATGCCTGTTATAATGGTCATATAAATATAGTAAAATTATTATTAAAATATAATGCTGATGTTAATATAAAAGATCGTTATCTATCTCAAATACCTATACAATTTGCTATGTATAGACAATTTGAAGATATTGTCTATTTATTAGATTCTAATGTAAAATGGACATGTGATAATGTTGATAATGAATCAAAAGCACGAAATATACCTGTATTTCGAAAAAAATCAAATTTATTTCTTGGAAGATATATTTTAAATGATAATCATATTAAACAAATTCAATCATTTCGAAATAACTTACAATCAGATGATATTGAATTGACAAAAGTTCAAGATGCTGAATTATCAAATCTTCTTGTTCGAATAATATTTACACATGATTTTAGAAAACATCTGAACAAAACTATAGAACTATCATCATCAGAAGGTGATGATGATGATGATTCATTTTTAAGATCATCATCAACATCAGCTCATGAACATATTATGGTTTTTAAGGATGAATAAATTATTTCGAAAAAAATAATTTATTATAATTGAGATACAAATAGATCGTTAATAACTATAGATGATAAAAACTTAAAATATTTTCGTCAGATGTCAATCGTATAAGTTGAAAGTTATGTCGGTAATAAGAGTTTGCTCAAATAATAAATATCTACCATCAAAACTTTATGATATTTTATTCTATCTTTTGTATGTATCGGACCAGTATTAGAACTTAAAACAAAAATTAAGAGGATCTTTTTGTGTTGGCGACAACAAAGATGAATCGTTGACCCTGTAACATTCGTATTATCGCGTCGTATAGGTGTTTAACAAGTGCAAACAACAGCTGTTGTTCGATAATCATTGTTGTTTTTCTAGTAACTCAAATCTATAGCTTATTCTAACAAAAGTTTTTTGAATAATGTAGATAAAAATCTTATTTATCGACATTCATCAGAAGTCAGATTTATTTTTTTTCTTACGGCAAATTCCAAACATAAAATATTAATGTAACTCTTGGATATTCATTGAATAATATTTAGGATTGTTAATGAATTTGACAAAAAGTTTAACATATTTCTATAATTCGAATCATCGTTTCGTTGTACAACTTTCGTCGTACGCATCTTCTCAAACTCTTTCTATGTTACTCATTCAAACAGTTTGCAACACTCGTCATTATCATAAACTAATCAGGCAAGAAACTATAAAACACATATTTTTTACGTCATAAAAATTTTTTCATAAAACAGTTCGACTTTCCCGATTAAGAGATTTGGATTTCTCGCCTCCGGAAATATCTTCTCTATTCTAGGGATTAATTGCAGTTTCATCGTCATTTTATAATGATGAATTCGAATAAAGCTATTTGATGAGATCCTAGAGCAAAGTCGAAACCGGTCATGGCTGCTTATTCTGATATGTTCGACTTTCTAGAAAATTTTCTAACACCGTCTGCCAAATTTTTAGCCCTTCCCACTTTTCAAAACAGCCGGGAACCATGCGTATAATATTTACATTGTACAAAGTATATTTTTCTATAAAAATTAAGATAATTGTATTAAAATCATCTATGCTTCTTCTGATTACGGATGAATTAATTTGTTAACAAAAATTTTTCGACTAACTGCATAGTTACCCGCACATTCGACAATAACTTTGTTCGCATCATTTTGGTATATAGACTAACTCTCTCTCTACTCGAGAGATAATTAATTAGCACCTACAAAATATTGTACATTGAGAATACATTATTATGCGCACGTCCTCAGGAATATTTCATACATCGACATGACATTCTAAAAAGATATGGGACGATAAGGGCATTTTTCTCCCCAAAAAATTTTTGCACCTGTACCCTCCCTCATACGGCACATCTGGAAAAATAAAGATATAAAAAATACTTTACAAAATTCGATAATGTAAGATTATTTTTCCTTCCATTGAACTTCAGAATAGAACATACATACGGCGATTGAAGTATAGATTAGTCTTCAGGAGATTGATATAAAAAAGAATGAATGCGTAAAATGTTGTATAATATATTAAAACGAGTAACATAAATAATGATGATAGTCTGTAACGCTTCGCTGTTGCTATTTGAAGATCGTTCTTTAAATAAAACGTATAGACAGGTGTAAAATTTGTCGATCGAGAACTTATCGATCGGTTTGATATATTACTATTAGAATATTTTTCGACTGCGTCGACCTACGACTTATTTAACGCCATATCGTGATGAGATTCAGAAATACTCTAGATAATGCAATGAGAAAAATTTTTTAACACCCTTGGAAAAAAGAGAACTGGATATCAACTGTATCGTTTACGTAGATAGATTACGATTGGATTGATCTAACATCAATTGTGTTATTTATAATTGATGAAGGTGTTAAACTGAATTTATCCGACTTGTTCTTTGTTGAATCGACGAAATATAAGAAATCGAAATAATGGAAAATTTAATAAACGAGAAAACTAATAAGGAAACTAATGGACAAACTAGAAGACTTTCTCTATTACAATAAACATCTTGATGACATTTGCAAAAAAGTGTACAAATTAAATTATTTTTATAACATTTGCAACGAGCTTGTCGACCTTTTTTTCTACATAGCAAACATAAAAATATTCTTCCAGATTTTAATGTCGATGAAAGATATGATTTAACGAACAGTAATAAACAATTCTTTATTTCTTTTGTACATGTAGACGATTTATCAGTAGTCTAAAATAATGACAATCGTCTTTGTCATCATTTAATGTTTTCTTGACCACTTCTAGCCAATATAATTCATGTGCAAAGACCAATCAGTGGCGATCTCTTAAACCGGACTAGGGCGCGTAAAACTATTACAACCAAAATTATTAAATCACTTTATAAGTTCAAAACGTAGTATCAAAAGTTCTTGAAAAGTGACAAGTATGTGGCGCCCTCTCTGGGTGTATTTTTCGATATTGATTATACACTTCATCGCCCTGTGCGTAGGTACCAGTTGTTCGAAACACGTTAGTTAATTGTTCGTTTTGACCTGGGTACACTATAAAATTTAATACTGAATTAAGGAATCGGATTGGTGTTTCCAAATGACAACACCAATCAAATTCCTTAACTCGATATTTCTTTTTCTTTTTCTCTGGCGAAGAATAAGGTGAAAGAAACATTTTTCTTTCCAGCTACTCCATGCAAATTTACGTGTCAGCAAAACAAGTATGTTTTATATTAAGATAAAAATAGATTGATAACGGCCGTAATGAACTTTTTTTCATACAGAGTAAAAACTTCAACTCTTATAATATTTTTCAAAGCTTTTTTTCCCTTCTGAGAATTGATTCATAATTTATTAGGATTTATTTTGTTTAGATTATCCTCAAATAAATTTTTAGAATAAAGAAAAAAGTGAAAATGATAGAAAATTTTAGTGAAATTTTACGGTCTGATACAACGGTTAAATCATCGTCGGAATCCATAAGTGATAATGCAGAGACATCTCTATTGAAATGTAAAATATGTGAAGCACCTGCTCGTTACGCATATTTTGGTGTTCTATCATGTGAATCATGCAAAATGTTTTTCAAACGAAATGCTCAGATTGTACTGGCAAGTTTTCTTATTTATTTTTGATATATTTATTAAATAAATTTATTTTATAAGAAAACATTCAAATGTTATTTCGATAATCAATGTCAAATCAATATTAACAATCGTCATATATGTACTGCATGTCGATTAATTAAATGTTTTCAATGTGGAATGAATATGGATTTATTTCGTTTTCCTTATTCAAAAAGAAAAAAAACAATAACTCGATCGAAAAATAAAAAATCTCCATTAACATCAACGGAATTAGTTCCTATATTCAAGTCACATAAACCACAGATGGTAAAATCTTTTTTAAATAAAATTTTTCAAAAGATTTTATTCAGTATATTTCATTAGTTTCATCTTAAAATAGTTGAGATAATTTCAAATGAATTTTTTTTTAAATACAAATCATTCGAAGAGGATGAGAAATTCTGTGAAACTTATTTTGTATGAAGTTAATTATAAGAAAAAATTTCTTTAAAATCTCTTCAAACAGCAATTATATTAATATCAATGGGAACTCTTTGAGAGAAAATATAAAGAAACGGAAATAAGAAAATCTAAAGATAGTTCACTAATGCTTTATTCTTTCCAGATGCTTTAATTGTAGAAAAATCTGTCAAGATACTTGAACATTGGCTGGCGAAAAGGGGTTGTATGAGTTCGTAACGAAAAAATTTACAGGGTTTTCGTAACCCGAAAGCCCTGTTGTTATTTTGTTTACAGGGCTTTCGTATCGGTTTTGACAGGGCTTTCGTATCGAATTTTGACAGAGCTTTCGTATAAAAAATATACAGGGTTTTCGTTTCAAATATATACAGGACTTTCGTAACTAAGTTCTATATTGCATTCATAACCGGATAAAAAGGCTAATATTCTTTAAACAACAGGGTATTCGTTGCGAATAGTCTTTCTTCGAAATATCTGTGAAGTCAGTAGATGTGATTCATCTGTAACAACTGTTATATACCTATATGATCCAAATAGGTAGTGCTATCCTGTGAGTTAATCATCTGTATACATTTATAGGTGTCGCTATATTTCTATGGCTGAACAGAGGTTTACATCGTTAAAAACGATGGGGTAATAGATTGACCATTAGCAAATAAATAGATGTTTTCTCCCTGTCATTTGTAAATCAAGTGTAGTCTTAGCAAAGTCACCACCACTAGCAGTACTGATGGTAAAATCGATGAAAAATGTTTCTAATAATAAGGTTACTCAAGCGCCAAAACCTGTTCTGAAAAGTATTCAAACGTAAGTCAACCTGCCTTTATAGCTCCTTGATTTTTTTTTGGCTTCGAAGAAACGTCGACGTGAGTAAATAAATAGACTAGTCCAGTTAGAGTACGGATTTAGAATAGAGAGTCTTTATATTATTGAGCTTTTTGGTTGTCTACATCTAGTTCTTTCTTTTTTCAATTACTGTATGCGACTATTTCTTATTAAAGTTGTTGACTTAGAGTCAGAAAAATAAATTATGTACTCTTATTTCTATTTTTTGGATTTTGTGCTCGTTCACTCTTCTCCATCTCCATGTACTTCTTGTGTGTTGTTACTTCTCGTTATTATTAGGAAATAAATTTAGAAAAAGATTTGAGCTTGACCGTATCTATGGTCCCGTTCTCTTTCTGCTCTTGAATTTTTTTCGTTATAATTTTGATAGAATGCTAATCTCCAATGATATCCTGTCAGAAGTTATTATTAGAGCTCACACTAGCGCTCACACTACCTGCCTTTTCGTTATGATAGCCCTGCCAGAACGGTACGAAAGCTGTGTTAAAATCCATACGAAAGCTCTGTAAAATCGATAGAAAGGCTCTGTAGAAATGATACGAAAGCCCTGTCAAAACGCATACGAAAGCCCTGTAAAAACGATACGAAAGCCCTGTAAAGTTTTGATACGAAAGCCCTGTCAAAATTTGATACGAAAGCCCTGCTTTTTTATGAATTTTTACAGGGCTTTCGTAACCTACCGTTACGAATCGTTACGTTCCCGGCGAAAAAAGAAATTTCTAATCTAGAAAGAATCTTACATTTCTTTGAATTCAGCTCTGAATCTTTTCATAATAATGTAAAATCAATTTCTTGGATATTCTAACAAGGTTCATTCTTGGGAGATTCTATTTTAATCAGTATTCTTATATTATAATTATAATTTCAGAGTTCACTTTGTTTTTATTTCAGATATAAAAGTAGTTACTATATTTGACAACCCCGATGATAAAAATGACTAAAACAAGAAAAACAAATTATAGTACAGCACAATAGTACATTTAGATTCACAAGAACTTGAAGGACAATGAAAAATAAACACATTGATGAAAGTAAAACGTCACAGAATAGACAAAGAATCCTATAAAAGTCAAAATTTTCTTGAAAACAAAAAATAAACAAACTGTTTGCACAAATGAAAAGCGCTAGGTTCAAACATTCAGTCACAACGTACTACTACGAGTTTTGTCCTTCATGTTTATCATTAATTTTTTGAAGTGACACTACTTGTGTGGTATTCTAAATACGTTTTAATAGATCTACTTTAATTTAGGACAATTAAAAACAAACGAAATTCATAGTTTTTTGTATGATTGATATTCATTTGACAAACTATAAGATAATTTTATCCATCTTGTCATGCTATTTGTTTAACGTTCGTTGTATAAATGAATGAAGACGTGAATGTAAGCGGCATATATATACAGAAAGAGACAGATAAAAGAAAATAGACGCCCGTCTTTTAATTCTAGCAAGAATCTTTTTCTTGTTCCAGTACGCGATAAAAAGACTATTATCGGAGTTTTAAGATGAAAAAAAAATCTGGAAAGAATAAAGAAAAGAATATCCATTTGTGATGTTAGAACTCGAAATGTATATTAGTCGAACTCACAAGAGAAGAACACCAAATATCTAATAGATTTTTAATTGAGACTATGTGCACCACATAGATCCCAGTGAGATATAAAAAACCTCAAAAGGATAAGAGACTTTAAGTCTTCTATCGAAAGTTACAGGCATTTTACTGAAATTTTGCTCATAGACAGATCAATTTATGAGTAGAATATCCTGAATATTTCAGCTCAAAAGAATGTTTCCTTTACGAGATATTAGAGTCTCAAAAAACACATATCCCACGTTAGATTCTAGAATTTTCCGGTTTTTTGTGGGACTTTAATATCTCGTAAAGGAAACATTCTTTTGAGCTGAAATATTCAGCACATTCTACTCATAAATTGATCTGTCTATGAGCAAAATTTCAGATTAAAATATTGTAATTCGATTTGTTAATATTTACCATATCAAAGACTAAAGTTTTAATAAAGTCTTTATAACTTTGGACAGAAGATCTAAGGTCCCTTATTCTTTGAAATTTGTCATATCTCAGTAAGATCTACATAATGTACATAGTTTCAACTTAAAAACGATTGAACATTTGATGCGCTTCTCTCGTTAGTTCTGATTGTGCTTTTAGCAAAATTATTTGAATATGCATTCATATGAAGTCTAAAATTTTATGAGATAATTCGCTCGAAGAAACAATCTATCGAATTTTAATCTATGTTCGTTGTCTCAATCAATGGAACTGAAATCGATAGTAGAACTGCTTTGGAATATCTTCACCTACTACTGAACATTTTTTCTATAAATAAACGATTGATATAGGATCAATTTTTAGTACATGTTTGATCGAAATTAATTCATTTTCTAATCTTAAATAGACAATAATCTATTATTCTTTGAGAATTTTTTTGTTATTAAACTATTTGTTTTTATAGTTACCAACATTAAATATTTTACAAGCGGACATATCAACATTAACTAGTGATCAATGGACTCTTCTCTCAAATTTGGTTCATAGTTATGATGAACGGAAAGTTATTTCTGTCTGTCAACGTTTGGTCCAAGAAGACGAATATCTTCACTCAATGAAACCAGCAAATGAAACATTGGTTAAACAGTTCTTTACATTACTTTATGAAACAACAGAGTTGTGTCTTAGCTCAAATGGTGATCTTCGTAGTTTATCATTTAATGATCGTTCAGTTTTACTTCGTACCGGTGCGGATTCTATAACTTGTTATGGTGGAATATTTTCAATGTATCAATTTCAATTACGCACTTGTCAATCTTTCTTACACTCACTTCGTAGAATATATGGAGAACATAGTCTTATGCTTACCTTAAATTCAATAAAATTTATTGATCCTGATATTGTACTCAATAAAATGGCACTTTTATTATTACTTTCCTCTAAAACTACTTGCATATTTTCGTCAACAATATCATTAGATCATGCCGATGTTAGTGTCATTTCAAAGATTCAAAATCGATATGCAGAAATAGCATGGAAATATCTTCTATATAAATATGATGAATATCAAGCTGTTCAAAAATTTATGACGTTAATTCAATGTCTTATAGCTGTTATTCAAACAATGTCTCAGGTTCAAAGTGTTGAATCACATGTTAATGATATTGAAACAATTGTTGAACATACTCAACTGAAACTTATTTTAGATGATATTGAACAATTTAATGAAACAGTTGATGATTAACTTTATTTTTTTTTTTCAAATGTACACAAGCATAAAACTATTCTATGCTAGTATTTTCTTGTTTTTTTTTGTTTCATAAAAATATAATTATATAAAAAATAAGCATCAAAAGAAAAAGATGAACAGTTTCATATACTAATTGAATAATAACATAAATATATTTGATTGATAGATCGAGAAGAAGAATATTATTTGTTGAAATTTTTAAGTGAATTAAATCTATGAGAATATTTTCCTTTCATATGTTAATCGTCTTCCTAATAATATGACGTATAAAACAATAAAAATTATCTTTTTTTCGATTAGAAAATCGTTCAAGAATATATTTCTATATATGTTGAATCAACAAATTGTTTAAATAATTTCGATGATATTGAAATGAAAAAGAAAACTGAATGATGATCCTATTTCGATTGTTAATAATAAGTTTCTCAGTTCAGTCAAACAACTCTTTGGTAATCAATTAAAAGATCATATACAGAATGTCCCGTAAGAAAGGTAACATAGTATTTTTTTTTGATTTTCTTCTTGTACATGGTCAGTTAAGGATCATATTTATACTGCTGATACATCTTTGAATGCTTAACTTACTTGGAAAGTTGCAGTCATATACAATAAGAATTTAATGGAAGGGTATAAGAATACCTTATTCATTCATGTAGCTAAGAAACCAAATTTGATGTTTTTATCATTGAACTATGGTTATTTTCTTTTTTCAAGAAAATCAACCATCGTCAAATTGATTCGTTTTTTTGAAGATTTTTTTCTAAGCTTTTTAAGACGAAATATCTTCAAAAAAGCTCATAAAAGTCCAAACAAAGTCGAGAAATCTTTAATTATGACTTAATGGGTAATATTACTGAAAACAAGAGAACATCAAGTCATGATTTCACGGCTACATAGGTACATAAGGTGTTCTTATACCTTTCCATTAAATTCTCATTGTATAAGGCTGTAACTTTCCAAGTAAGTTAAGCATTTACAAATCTATCACTGGTATAAATATGAACCTTAACTGACCGTGTATAAGACAAATGTGTTTGTATAAAGTAAATATTTCCATATTAATTCATCATAGAGATTTTGTATATGTAAGAATGATTGAATATTTGTCAAATACTTCACTAAAGTATTTTCGTTAAATACAGTACAACAACTTGTACAAAATGTAAACAATGATGGTGTCAATTTAACGAGATTAATATTTTGATCAAGTAAAAGTTGAACTTTAAATATTTCTGTTAAAGCCAATATCTTTGAATATTATCGGTACACATCATACACAAATAAAAATATTTTCTTTCGAGCAACTCGTTAGAAATATGAACTTTATTAGTATCAGTCTCAGGAAAGGATCCTTTTAAATGAGTGCGTTACCATGCCTTTCAGCCCCTCTAGAACAGTCACAGTTCGAGCAAATGAAATGAAAATTTTAGTGAAAACACAACTTCCATATACCTAACTAAAGTATGAATTTCAGCTGTTTTTCATATTGTTTTAATGAATTATGATAACTCGAAAGTCAAAAAATGGTAAGTGCGTTACCTGTGGACAGGCGATATAGATTTTAGCATCGAAAATTTTACCCCCTAATCTTTTCAGAAATAAGGAGGTAAAACTCGTGTATGAGAAATCTTTTGTAGGAAAGATATTTTAATACTATCAGATGGAGGTATGCAGAAGTTTTTGGAAAAAAATGTATGCTAATGTTATTAGCATTGAAATCCTGTATTAACTCAATGTGTTCTATCCAACCATGCATTAAAAAAAAAGGATTACGAAAATTTTGAAATGAATAATAATTATTTAATACGCACAAAAAATAAATAGTTTATATGAAATAATCAAATAGAGTCTGTAAAAATTTTCAATAAAATGTCATGTCAAGATCTTTTCATTCTAGCTCAATACTAGAAACCATTGATTGTATCTGCATATTTGGATAAACTTGATGTTTATTGCAACAAAACCATCGTTTCAATCGTTGACAACATTTCTTTACTAAAACATATTTCACTTGACGACGAAATCGTGATGAAGATACCATAAATATATAAAAACATGTCTAAACAAAAACACGTTATATAAATAACATAAAAACAAAAACATAATGCCAGTTAAAAACTATTACCGCATGATTTAGATTAAAAAGTGAACTCATTACTGCTCCTACTAGATTATTAATTGCATATATAAAAAGATTTGATTGATCAATTTTTGCAAGATATGTATACATTCTTTGAATACCATAAGGTAATGTTAAAATAACAAATGCAATTATACGAATAAGAACCATTGCTGTTAATTGTCGATCAAGTCGTCGACGAACTATTGGTATTTGTCGTCGAACAATTCGTCGAACATTTCGATATGCTAAAATACTAAATAATGATGCTATGAAAATAGGCAAAAATCCAGATAAAATTGGATAATAGAAAAATGATAGATATTGAGACATTTTTGGATTGAAAACAGCACATACAGAAGCTCGAATTTCAAGAAAAATACAAAATGGAATGCTATGTAATATTGAAATAATAATCGCAATTAATATTAGAATTTTAGCTAATTTAATTGTACTCAATTTTCTTAAATTGAATTGAAGATTTGTTGAAAGATATTGATCACAAGCAGAAAAACTTATTGCAGAAAATGAAATTAATGTACATGATGCAATCATCATTGGACGAAATTTACACCAGAAAAGTATTGAACTTGCTGGATCAATTCCATTTAATATTGTTAGTAAACGTATAAGAAAAAATGTTATTAATTGACATATATTTGAAATTGATTCAGTTACAAAATACAAAACACATTGATTATTTTGAAAGGCTTTAAAATTAGTAAAAATAAAAATATTAAGAAAATTTCCAATTATTCCGGTAGTGAGTACAATGTAACTAGTATAGAGTCCATATTTTTGACTAATAAGAAGAATATTCAGAGCCGTTGAAGAATCCATAATGATTATATTATGACGTCTTTTTTTTTCTTACTGAAGATTTTCTCTCTTTCATTCTTTCTTTTGGAAAAAAAATAATAAAAATTTTACTTATTATCCCTTATAGCATCAAGAGAACGTCATTCTCATCCAAGGAAATAGTAAACTTTTTTTCATTATTAAATTGATATTGTACTATGTAAAATAGATTCATCGGATCAACTATTATTTCTTTAGGTTTATTTTAATACAGATGAATAGGTTTTATTATTAAGGCATTCATTCTGTAAGAGGAAATGATAACTTGTATAACAAATATTGTTAGAACAATATTAAAGTTTATTAACTTGATTAAATAGTTTATCTTCTTTACTACATCATAAATAATACATCTTCTAATACTGATTATTAATATTAAACCTTTCTCTGTAATAGAAGATCGCAAGCCTATCCTTATGAGATTTTTTCCAAGGAAGTCTTCTATTCTGTCTCATATATTTTCATAAATTTTGATTAACAGATATTTTCAAAAATCGAAGAGAGTTTTAGGATTTAAAAAAAATCTAGGACTGACGTCGACTTCAATGTTGTAAAGTTTTTCAACTTAAAATTCGGAACATTAGGCATATTCTGATGTATGTATACTGATTAAAATTTCAATTTTATCATGAATTAATTAAGCAAGAGAAGTGTTCTATTACATCCGATGTATCATTCTTTCAAGGAAGTCTTCTATTTATATCAGAAAGGAAGTTCCTTGAAAACTTTGAACTTGTTTTGAATATTATATTCAGTGAATAATAATTCATAGAATGTTTTTCTAGATGGAAGTTTGTTCCAATTGAATATGTTATAATAAAATATAATTGTATTGAAAAAAAAGTCAAACAATATATTTTGATAGATTTATAAAATGCTTTCGATTTAAAGAAAACAAATTTAAGTTTTCGTCATTTTTTAATAGATACATTGATTCTTATATCAAAATCGTTTCCTATGTAATCACAAAGTCAAATTTTGATTAACAGGCTACAATAGATATCTGTACGTATATTTACGAGTTCGAGTACTATTATCATAAAGTTTTGATACATATTGAAATCATCAGTATTATTAAACTAAAAAAATAAGAATTTCTTTTCGAATTATTCAACATTTTAAAAGAACGAATTTATAGTAATAAGAATCTCTTTTGAATTATTTATCAATCGTTTATTTTTAGAAAGCTAAATGCATTAATGTTGTAACAGTAAACAGATAAGAATATTTTGTTATATTCTCAAATTTATGATATCAGTTGAGATAATGATATTGGTATGTTGTCTACGAAAAGAATTGCCTATTCTATAGCAAAATAGCTTTTTGAACTAATTATAAGAATGAATGTATAAAAGGCTTGTGTTTTGAATTTTCAGACCTAAAATATGTTTTTAATTCTCTACAATTCGAGAAAAGTGTTTTTTGGTGTGATACTCGTGCTATGTTTATAACAATCAAAATATAGAATAGACAAGCACAAGTTGGCATTGAATTTAGTTTTTTTGTTTTGAAAATGTTACGTTTGAGTAATTGAAATATTTTCTATTTTATAAAAATATTCATTAGTTGTATATTAATCAAAATAATATCATTTTCCTCCTTTAGAATACATGCCCTCGCACCTTTAGTAAAGCAATAAAATAAATATTGTTCTGTTTTGTTAAGAACTAAATTAGGATATCAAATGAATGTTTATATTCAACGAATATTTAATATTATAAAAGAGTTCGAGGTAGTTTTTAATTCTTTTGATATTAAAAATGCTTCAATGTACTCTGAACTTCACCTTCTATCTAATCCATTTATTCTATTATAATCCATTAGAGAAGTTCGATCTAAATGCGCACAGTATTGTATGTCATTAACCAACACAATTATTTCAACAAGAAAAGTACAAGCGATTACAGATCATGTTTAATTCTTAAACAGAATGGTTATACAGAGAGAGAGAGAGAGAGAGAGATGGACAGTTTTGTCTATATGCTACTCTAGTTATCATGTGTATTTCTTTGACTTCACTTATATTTTCTATATTCCAATCCGATTACAACTGTGACCGTAGAGAGTCATATTGTACGTGGTGCCATTTTAAAAGAGTTGATTATTTCTGTATCTGCTTCTGTAATCGGTGTTTCACTGCTGAAGTTTTTCATTATCATTTAAGAAGTTGTCAAATGAACAGAAGTTTAATAGAACTCAAACTCTCATGAAAAAGGATCAATTTAGAGGTTAACTCCAACTTAGAGTTGACATTACTAATCTCTGTTATAGACAGAATTTAAGAAGATTTGCAATTCATATAATGATGGCCAAGTCATGCCATCGTAAGTTCCTATTTTCAGAAAAATTCAAATAAAATGACTATGAGAAAAGTTTCAAGGAAAATTAAAACCAGTACTTCGAGAAATAAGCATAGAATATAAATTTTAATATAAATAGCATATAGGAATAAAGTATATATCTTTAGGATTGAGTTAGATTAGGAAATTCATTTTTACATGAAAAGTAAATAGAAAAGACGTGTACATATTTTGGGTTGGATTGAGTTGGGTCGGAAAATTCACTCAATTCTGACAACTATTTAGAATTGAGGCGTATATCTTTCAGACTGATCAGATGATATGTTCTACGAATATCTCTCGAACTTCAATCAAGTAGCAGCAAATGAGATATGAGACAGAGAGAGAGAAAGAGAGCAGTTATAGAGCGACTCAAGATATAAAAGGTAAAGAAGATATCGACTAAGCAGGCGACAACACACAAGTGTCATTGTACATGGTGTGGGTGCCGCGAAAAATTGAACACATTCAATAATACATACGATTTATATCTATTCTATCGCCTGTGTCTTCATATCTCATATATCTTCTATATCAGTACCTGACTGATTTTCCGAGGAAATTCTGAAAGATCATTTTATGAGATCCGTTCTGTTCAGAAGAGTAAGAGTGTGTGAGTCAGGCGTCAGTGAATGAAAACAGCAACCACATGGATATCAATTCTCTCATGCGCATCCACAAATAAATCTCCTCCTTTTCTTCACTTGCATTACGATGAGGTAGCGAAGGTATTATTTTGAATATATGTGTTTTAGAAGTCAAGCAGATAGTAAAACAACCACCTTAAAGTGCCAGTCGTTATTGCTAAGATGGAAATTACTGAATGATGAGTTTTAGAATAGTAAGCATTAAGAATATGAATTTTCTGATCCAGCCCAATCCCAAAAGATACAGACTATATCTCTATATATTTTTCATATTAAGATGAATTTCTTGACTGATGCTTGCATCAGATTGGGAGTTGTGCAGCTTGAATGGCGTGTGTGAAGGTTAATTTCGAGCTACACATCATATAGCAATTATTCACATACTCGGAGCAACGTTCTGTAGTTGGTGTTATCTATTGTATAGTGATGTACAGAAATTTGAATTTCCTAGAAATAGGAATTTATCATACCATCGGTCAAGTATTAGATAGTAAAAATGAGCTTTTGGTTTCACTCTTATTTTAAACGTTTATAAAGAATTTTTGAATGACAATATTAAGCTGCTACCATAATGATGATTCTTCAGAGAGAATCAAAACAAATCTTTCATATTTACAATCATCACAATAGTATTTTGATAGTAAATTCTATATATCTTCAATAATGTTCTCGACCAATCTAAACAATGTTATAAATATAACATAGCTAAGAGAAATTATATTTAATAAATATTCATTCAAATATTATTCATTCGATCAGTTCTTTTCATAAATCTTCTATCATACAAAGTCATTTTGATTTCAATAAAACTTATTGTAAGTTTAAAAAAACCAAAGTTTACAGTTGTAGAAAGGCGAAACAATATTCAGAATTTGACTTCTATAAATATGCATTTCAATGATCATGAAATAGACGAAAAACTAAATAAATCTGGATGGGATATTCATGTTCTTTCTACGTTGCTAATAATAAAAGCTTTTCGATTTCTTCTGAATCATGTCTTTCCAAACGATTGGGTATGAGTGTGGTCCTGCCCTTGATTCACATCCACCATTCTAAGCTTGAATAAATACTGAGCCAACAGAATCATGTACTGTTTCAAGTACAGTCTATAGATTTGAAAGAAAATTCGAGCATTTGGTAGCGAATATCCAAGATCTTCTCTCAGTCTACACCCACACCCCACACCCACATCCTCCTAATCGGAAGATGTTAGCCTCGTCTCCTAACCTGTAATCAATGATCCTTTTTGACGAATCGTTTACGCTCGTTCAAACATATCATGCGGACATTCGTTAGTTGTCTTTTACGTACAGTTGATTGTGGATAAGTAAATTGAAGGATTATCATATCTTCTTTGATTTTATTTTTATCAAACTCATACCCTTCCTTTAAAAGTTAGAAATTTGATAAAACTTTATAAATTCGGATTATTGCTGTATTCGCTCCATAGCTGATCTACTGTCTTGCCAGCAGCAAACTGTTTCCATGAGTCTACTGAATACGTGTTGTCTCGCATACTCTTATCCAAGTCATTGACAATATTAGGGTAGAACTTTTCACACCAGGCCAGAAAACGAGCAGTGACTCTGTATGCGTTTGTATAGTGTTGACTTCGTTCATAGTCATACAAAAACCCGAAGACGTGATCGTTTACGCGGAACTTCCATCTGGAATAGTCTGCAATGCCTTCAACCAACCAGCCAGGATCATAACGTGGATAACTTTGTACTACATGCATAGCTTCGTGTACGACAACGTCATCACCTCCTGGACTATTACTTATCCAGGGACCGATAACAATGCCGTTAGATGATACATAAGCTATTCCATCGTAGTTTGGATCAATTGTCATCCGAACATTACGCGCGCATGAGTGCGGATTAAATCGTGCACACATCTGTGGGCTACAATAGAGAATCAGATTTCATCGGAAATTAGAGAGATCCATTCATCTATTTTGACTCTACTTACTATGACGCAAAAAATGTATCGATAATTCCCTGTCTTGTAGTAGCACTCATCCTATTATCTTCATCGACAAACGCCAACGTGTAAATTCCATGTGTGTAGGTGAGCGTGTTGACTACGTAAAAATTTGAAATTAAGACGATGATAAAAATTTGCACTAATATCGACTATATTTAAAATCATTATGTAACTGTGTACTTCTTTTGTGGAATTAAGTTCTTGTTACTCTGTGGCACAACTATATAAAAGTGTGCTTTCTAGATGCAAGAGTGCGAGTTTAAACTCATTGAGAGGGTTCTCATTTTCTTGGCTGTTCTTTTTTTTCTTCTCTCTTATTAGAATTTAGTGCAAGAAAGAATAAGAAATGCTTAATTTGTACTCTTGAAGGAGGTTTTTTGCAGAACAGCACGAGAAAATGCAATCAACCGGCAAATCAAGTGGTTCTTCCTTCTGCTGACCAGTCACTGAAAATTTCTCCTCTCAATAATATCTAATAAACAACAGATTCTTATTAAAAAAGCACAAGCCTGACAAACAAATAGACATTAATTTCTTAGACCCTCCCTATCAGTGATAGGAATTTCTTGTATCAATAAAACAAGATTTTCGGACATGTCTTTATACAAATTTTTTTTCAGCAATAATATCACAAGAAAGTTGTCTATAATTTTATCTCAAATGTTTTCTAAATCATTCATTACACTTCAGCGGAGCAACCTTGTTAATTAAGTCTCTATTGTCGATTACACGGCACTTCATAACATAGAGTTAACACACTTACCATTGTATCCAGAAATTCTATCGCTATTTGAATATCCATTATCTCCGGTACTTCTTTTCGGCCAACATAGGTTTGTTGATGGCGAATATGCAAAAGCCTTACATCCTGAAGTTGCCTGACATTTTATGCAACAGCTAGCATAATCGAGTACTTCTACAGGTGAAGGTAATATGTCATTTCCAGGAATGTCCCATTTGTCTTTACGTACGAAACCACCACACATGTTTGCTGTGAGAACATAAATAAAAGGATAATTTCCATAGCATTCATTGTGCAGATGAGAGATTTGAGAAAGAGACCACTTTCACTGTCGTTCTATAATTCAATGTATTTTGCCTATCCTGTTCCCTCGTCGCTAAGCTCCTCGTAAATGCTACACTCTCAACGAAATCGTTTTATTAACGAACTTAAAAAAGCCTTAGGCAGCTGCTGAACACAAAAACATTCTCTTTCGAGTAAACGAGAAGAACCCTTACTTCTGAAGGATTTTCAGGTTGCGTAGGCAAGAACTAGATTTTCCAAAAAAAAGCGTTAAAACATTTGGTATTAAGAGAATGCCGTGGCCCTCAAAAACCAATTTTGTTTACAGCATAGTAAACCTTTAAGAGTGATAAGAAAGCGAGAACCTAGTGTTTTCGTACGTAATTCTTGCTTTGTTTTCAAAATAACTAAAGGAAAATTATATTTAAGTTCTTGCTACTTTCTGGTACAGCTATGTGAAGGTGTGCTGCCTATGTGCAAGAGTGCGGGCACAAACTCATCGAGACCGTTCTCATCTTCTAGTCTACTCTTTTTTTCTTGTCTCTAATTCTTTTAGTCTTTTCTTAGCTGTGCAACCTTATTTCGGAGGAATAAGAGACAGGAGAATAGTTCATCTGTCATGTCACCGAAAACTTGTTGCAAAAGAATGAAAAAAAAGAAGCGCGTCAATTGTGTTCTTGGAGAAAGTTTTTCGTAAGACATCAGAAGAAAAGACGATCAACTCTCATTGAAAGAGCGCACAACTGACAAACAGATAGACATTAGTTTTTTTTATAGGCTCGCTTTGAATGATGGGAATTTCTTACAACAAGAAAGTAAGATTTTCTGATACTTCTTGTCCAAATTTTTCGTCAGGAAACCTATCGCAACAAAGTGGTCTGGAGTTTTATTTTCTCTCAAATGTTTTTCAAACCACCCGATCTACTGCAATGGAATAGTCTTGTTTGTTAAGTTTCTCTTGCTGACGACATGGCATTTCTTAACAGACACTTGACATACTTACAACTATATCCAGAAATTCTATCGCCATTTGATTTTCCACCATCTCCGGTACTTGTTTTTGGCCAACATTGTCCTGTTGATGGCGAATATGCAAAAGCCTTACATCCTGAAGTTTCTTGACATTTTACGGAACAGCTAGCATAATCAGGTGCATATATAGATGAATGTGATATGTCATTTCCAGGAATGTCCCATTCGTCTTTACGTAAGAAATCACCAATGTTTGCTGCGAGAACATAAATAAAAGGATAATTTCAATAGCATTCACTGTGTAAATGAAAGATTTGAGAAAGGGACCATATGCAGTGTCGTTCTGCAACGATTTCAAATAAATCCCGATAGCTAGAAAAGGTTTTTGTCACAATCTTGTTCTTTCGTATGAAACCTCAAAAAGGTATAACTAATTTTACGTGTTCGAATTAGCCAAAATCTCAAGATGCTTATCTCATGAATTTGAAGAATGGCTGCTTTTTTGACTACTTTGTATATCGCGATTATTTGAAGAAAGGTTTAAGCAGTAGAACAAACCAATTCGCATCAACTATTCACTTATCATATCAAATACAGAGACAAATGCATTGTTGTTAATAAAATTACCTGACCTCTTGCTTTTCAGCTGAAACTCTTTATTGTAATTGTAACCTTGAACAATGACAAATATTTGAACAAAAAAGAGAGAATGGACCAGTATCGAGCAAAACATATTTATATTTGCTCTTGAGAAAATATCTTTTTTTTATTATCTAAAAAAAACAAAGTAAACGACGTTGATTATTCTAATAATTAGATAGAGAGCGATTACATAAGCAATGAATCGATAAGAGTTGCTTACGTAGTATAGAGTTCAACATATATTTGATGCATGAAAATGTACACAAGAAGAAGACTGAAGAATAATGAACGTTTACAGAGTGTCGACTGCCCAATGACTAAACGATACATTCTATTCTTTTCTTTTAGGACATCAACAAGATCGAAAACTAGAAATGAAGAGAAAGAGACAGAGTACACTACTTTTTTGCACTGCTCTTTGTTGTTGCTCAATGAACAATGGCAGATTGAAATCTTTGAAATCACTGATAATTTTGAAGATTAATTGTGATTAAAATCAAATTCTTTTTATTTCAAATATTTTAATCGATTAAAGATTTGACTTTGTTTCACAAAAATTCGATTATAATCTGCTATTTTTCATTGGTTGTTATTATCGATGCATAAATGTTGAAATGGATAGTCTCCCATACGATAATTATGCTAAGAATTTAGCTTAGTCTAAGAAAAAAAATTTTAGGCTAACTTATTTTCAGGTCGAGTCTCCATTTTAAATTTCTAAGACTCGAGCTGGAAAAACTAGTCCATATTAAATCTTTTCACGAAGAATGGCGGCATATTCGAAATTCAGCAAAGGAACATACATATTTCTCATTATCTACCGATTCAATTTGAGGCAAAATTGGATCTTCTATATTACAGAGCACACTTGCATGTATATGTGCAAATGAATGGATCCATCGAAGTGATAAAAGGGAAAAAAATATGAAACCAGAATAATAAAAAAAGTGTTTATTCTTATAATTTTGAGCAAAGCTCTACGCGGATGTATCTCTTTTCGCAATGATGTTTCGTTCGATGCATAAATAATGCATCATTTTCTGCGTAATTTCTCGGATTTTCATTACCTTCGTTTTAATATCGAGCCAAAACTCACTGAAAACATTTCCGAATATGTTTTCTACTGCAATGCAGTGCATCTGTATAAAAACTTAGTGTTAATCTTACCACCGAGGTTCTGGGAATCAGAGTTCGGAAGAAAGTATTTGTACTGGGACTTTTTAAACTTTTTCAAGTTAAAGTAAAAGTACAAGTACTTTGAGACAAATACTTTCGTACTATTTGCTTGAAGTACGAAACAGTGTTTTTTGTGTTTAACATAAACCTCCTCCCGTAATAGAAGCTCTTGAAGCTTCTAAACTGTCCAAGCGTTCAAAATTTTCATGAGGAACTCCTATTAAGTCCCAGAATTTTTCAAAGGACTTCAAGAATTTTCAGAGTTCCTAAGAGTTGTTCAGAAGATTGCAAGATTTTTACACTAGTAGATAAGAGTTAAGCAAATTTTTATCTTAAAATCTTGAAATTTTGATAGTTTTACTATGAAAAAAACTGATAAACGTTTTTAAAAACTTATTAAAATGAGAGGTTTCTAATATGTTTTGCACATCGACCCTCCAGGAGAGAAGGCTTCTACTATGAGGAAGTGGTTATTATTCTAGTCAATATTTAGGGAAATTCTAGCGATGATTGGAAAATGCAGCGAGACACAAATCCATCTTGGTTTTTACATTCTGGATTTGAATTCACATAGATTCTTCTCAGTGTCATGAAGAACTATATTTAATTCTGATATTAAGTCGGACCAACATCATCGTTCATAGATATTCATTATAGTTTCGACAAACTTCGAGCAATGAAAACAGATGATTCTTACAAGAGATCAGCATATTAGAATAAGAAATCGACATTAAAGACAAAATTTATTATATTCACATGTCAAGTACAAATACCAAGTACTTTTTCCTTACTTAAGTACAAGTACAAAAGTATTTTTTTTGTGCTTAAGTACGAAGTACATTTTTTAAAGTACAAGTGAAATACTTTTACTTGTTATATTTGTACTCATCCGACCTCTGCTGGAAATGAAGATTACCAGAATGAAAAATACTATTCTCTATCAAGAAAAGAGCAATAAACGATATTCACCTTATTTTCTTTCAACAATGTGTTGAGTACGTGAGTGAAATTAGAATTAGACTCGAGCATTTTTATCATTGAACTCGCCTCACAGCCAGCTTGTTTGGCATCCACGACCTAATTCGATCTAATGATGCACACGATTTTGTGCGCAGTAGTCCATTATCGTATTATCACGAATGGAAACTGCATTTCTCGGTCTCTGATCAAATAGAGCAGAAAATGAAGTCATGCTTTTTCTCCAGAAAGACTACTCTGTTCGTTATTGGACTGTGCTGTAATTCATAGTGTTTGCGCAACATTCCTTATCCACGTCGATGCTCAGGAATCGAAAGCGGTGTTTCGATGTAAAAACGAAGGAAAATCTAACAAATTTCTATCTGCACTTCCTACTTGCAGAGAAAATGGAAACAAATGTCTTCGTTCTGATCACTGCTGTCTGCTATGAATGCCTTCTAACTATGTAGGTCGGGTATATCAAGATGTATCTGAGACAATAATATGCGCGTTAAAACAACTTCTGAGGTGAATTCGACAGGAAAAATACTCAGATCTGATTCTAATTTCGCTTAAGTATTATATTTCCTATTGCGAAAATATCTTCTTTGGTATCTAAATCCAGAAACAACAGCAAATAAGGGTCAATAATCTATTAGCTAGTAAGAGATTACATAAGCAATAGATCGACAAGAACAACTTACGTAGGATAAAGTTAAATCTACGGTGGTAAATGAAAATGTCGACAAGAGAAAGATCAAAAAAAATAATAGCGAGCATCCACGAATTGATCGGCACAAATAACAGTGTCAAGAGCACCTGCTATATGGAAACAAGCACATTCACTATTGAACGAACATCAATAGTAGCGAGATATTCCATGGCAGAATTGAGATTTTACTCAAACTACCGATATACTTAATCAAAAGAAGGACATGTAAAATGAAACAAGAATGAAAGTTGTGAGGCTTAAAAAGAAGATTGTTCATAGTTATAGGAATATGAAAATACTAGATTTTAGAATTACTTGAATAGAACAAAAGCCGAATAACGAATAACTATTGAGACCATCGGTTGCATTTAAATGAAGCGAAAAAGTGGCGAAATCCGTTTATATATCTAATGAATATAGTATCTTTTTTCACACCCGCTGAAAGTCAAGAAGCGCACGACGTAATCTTTCAATAAATAGAAATTCGATGTGGCTCCAGCGCTTTCTATCTTGTTAACTTTTTGCCGACAAACTAATGCTTTTGGAAGAAAATAATGTGATAAAATGATATTTGGTGGATGATGGGTGAAGCAGCAAATAAAGCAAAGAAGCTCCAATTATTTGAGGATTTACGAGTGTGCATGAGAATAGGCTTTGCACGATATATTTTTTTGCTCTTACGAACATCATTACTTTGCACTGTCTTTTGGACTCGAATTAATGAATGATTCATCCATATCAATTCAGCAGCTCGAAAGCAAAGCATTTTCAACTCGAGAGTTTGAGAAAAGCTTTCATTAGTTGGCAATGATCTAAATATAACTGATCCAAACTTTTCAATTCAAATCAAATACTGGAAGTAATTACAAGGATAATTTCAATTATAAAAGAAAAGACAAGGTATTCAAGGCATCATATGACGTTTCGTCTTTGCCAACGGGACTCATCAAGCATGTTCTAAATTTATTATTACATCATATTATATAGATGAAAATTCTCCAAATTAACGAAGTTAAAATGAATATAATACAGGGCTTGTCAAAATTATAGACCCCTCTTTATCATCGGATTTTTTCTATGAAAAGGAGCTGCTAAATCAAATGTAAGTAGCGATTTCGATAGCTCTCGAAGTTCTCTATTGATTGCAGTATATTGGAAAATTTCAAAGATGACTTCACCAGGAGATTTTTTCGAAAAAGGGTGTGGGTGTGTGGGTGTGGGTGTGTGGGTGTGTGGATGTGTGGGAGTGGGTGTGGGTGTAGACTGGCAGAATTACACACGCTTACAACTACACCCACCGACACCCACAACCACACACCACATACCACACACTGCGAATCTTCTTTTCACATCTACCGATACACCAACTTTACACACACACCCTGATTACGTGCAACTTTGGGAAGATAATCCAGGTTGGTATTAACTTTTGCTACCACACACAATTCGACATGAGATGAGCTCGAATTCGAACCGACTCTCTGAGTTTGTACCGAATTGCAAATCTTGAATCATGAGGTTACATCGAATCTTGAATCCGAATCGAACTCCAAGCTCCGAATCCCAGAAGATTCGGGCTCATTCTATGTCTACGTACAGCAATGAAGTATTAAGGACAGGAAGTCACTAGCTACTATTTGTGGACAAAAAGTGAATATTCTTAAACATGAAGACAGTCAATGAAAACCAATGCCAAGTATGTGGATTTAAGGTCACAGTAACCTCCGGCTAATGAAACAAAACAATGAGTGAGAATATGTTCTCCTCAAATGAGAGGAAGGAGAAACATCTTACTGAAAATGAATGGCGCACTTTTCACTTATATATCAATCGGATCATCTATCTTAGTTTCATGAAAGATGAATCTTTTATAATCCATTACATTGCGCCTCGATTTTCTCTACAAATCTGTCTGCTTTATTTATTAAAATAAGAAGAGTTATTGAGTTCTCCAGGATCCTTTAACGACGAGATAAGAAACGACAATGAGAATAGTAATTGTCAGTAATAAAATTTTGTACAATAAAAGTAAAGATCATAAATTGATTTCTGCATTCATATCAGTATCAACAACTGACAGTAAGCAAGCAATGATAGGAAGGAAAGTAATAAATGTCGACGCAGTAGCCAAATGGCAGAAAAGGTATGTAATAAGTTCTGAATCCCTTCAGGTAATATTCGGTTCTTATATGTTTTTTTCAGGAGAATAGGCTGATATTTGCAGCAGGCATAATACATATCTAGATCTATTCTACACGAGAATTTCAGCTTTCTACCTCTTATAGCTGAAGAGATACAAGTAACGTAAAATTAATGGAAATTTTTTATTTATTCCTGAGAATTTTTTGTCATTCTATTAAGAATGTTAAATATAAACTAATAGTTTTAATGAGATTTATAAATCGAAATTCTATAAGAGTTTATGTCTATTCAATAAGGGAAAGTTTTCTGATTCTTGGACAAAACTTGAAAGTTAAGGTGCTTGCTCATGATGGATTCAGATTTTTCAAATCGAATACAATTGATCAAAAGTCTTTATTTTTTTTTTGGAAATACTTGGCATTCTATAAGTATAAATTATCAAATGTAAATTTGTATCATTCGATGAGAGATTGATCGAATAACTATAATATTTTCATCCGTGCTGCTTGTAAAAATAAATAAAAAATTCCTATTAATTTTACGTTACTTGTATGCCTCTAACTATAAGAGTAAGAAAGCTGAAATTCTTATATGGAGTAGATCTAGATGTCTAGGAGATATGCTGCAAATATCAGCCTATTCTACTGAAAACACATATAAGAAAAGAAGATTTCTTGAATGGAATCAGAACTTATTACACATCCTTCATTCTTAGTTTTTCTGCATCACGAATTTCTCCAGAAATACAATCAAACTTGCACAATGGAAATTTCCTAGAGTCATCTAAAGTATCTTCGTCGACTGAAAGTGAGTATCATTATACGAATGTATCGATAATAAACCCAATATGCTCGGTTCCAATTCATGCACCAGATTTGTTTAAAAGTGATTTTAATATCTGTTATTTTTTTTCATTGACAATAAGATGAACATTTTGTATTGAGACAAAGAATGATGCTTTTTGGATAGTGTCATTACGTAACTATCTTTGTACATATTAACTTAGAACTGTTTATCATTCGAGAAATTGTAGCTCTTTTAATAAACAACATAGAAGAGGTATTTGAACTCTTAATTTGTCAAGTATTTCATTGACGACTCAACTGACATAGGATTCAAAGATCTTCGATCATGCAATATATATATATATATGATATCTAGAGGAATAGGAGTTGGATTTGGAAAACAGGCAGAAGCGATTAATACAAATGAACTTTTCCTATTTCAACACTTGATTAAAAATAAATAGAATTCACTCCGTTAGCTTGCATTTCAACTAATTCAGAACAGATTGACACTTAAGATTAAAGTTCATCATTCTATACCACTCATAAGTAGGTCTCAGACTTCTACATAGCTAGTTCAACAGAAGTACAGAATACAATTTTATTTTGATAAAAATATATATCTAGGTAAACAGCGACAATCATGTCGATTGGATTGGGCTGAATCGTCATGGACAAGATGGATACAGATACCATTAATGTTGTGGATAACACCTATTCTCTCCTTGGGTAATAAACGTATGCTTGTTGAAGATGATCTTAGCGATCTTTCTGTTAACGACAAATGTTCACTTTTACTGAACAGAGTGAATCAGTATAGTTATAAATGGCAAGGTACATGGCATATACTCAAGCGAACATTTTATAAAGATTTTCTAATAACCATATTGCTCGTTTTTCCATGTGTCATTGCTCGTGTTGCGCAGCCATTGCTTGTTCGTCAAATCGTGCTCTACATTAAAGGTCAATCAGGGTTACCTGCTTACGCTGGTTATCTATGTACTATTGCTCTTTGCATTTCTGTAATTCTACAAGGCATTCTTATCCATCAAATCTTCTTTCGAAATACACGTATAGGCATGCGCATTCGCAGTGTATTATCATCTACTATCTATAAGCAATTGTTGACCATTAATACCGCAGCTCTTCATAAGACTACTGCTGCTCAGACGATTAATTTAGTAGCAAACGATGCCAGTAAATTTGAAGAGTTAAGCGCTTTCATGCATATCTTAGTACTGGTCCCTCTGGAAGCTCTTGTCACGTTTGGTCTCATTTGGTGGACCATCGGTTTACCGACATTATTCGGCTATGCAGTACTGCTTTTATTAGTACCTATACAGCTCATTTTTAGTAGACAATTTAGCCGATACCGAAAGGACACGATGGCATGTACCGACAAGCGAGTGCAAGCGATCAATGAACTTATCAATGGATGTCAAATTATTAAGATGTACAATTGGGAAAAAGCAATAGAACAACGAGTACGTGAAATACGTCAGCGTGAACTTTCGCACATTTTCAAATCTAGCTGCTTGAGAACTCTTAATATTGCACTCTCCTTTGCAGCATTACCTTTGATTTCTCTTGCTACATTCGGTGGTAGTTGGCTAATGGGTCGAACCTTGCTTCCAGAAAATATTTTCACAACACTAGCCTTCTTCGGCATGGTTCGAATTCCAATAACATTGACGATGCCGCTCGTGATCGAAAAGTTTAGCGAAGCTCGTGTTTCTGCAAGAAGAATCGATCAGTTTATGCAACTTGACATGCTGTCGAATAAACGTGAAAAAGTGGAAAACAAAAACGGGGATCATGCAATCATAATGGAAGATGCATCATTCTCTTGGAAAGATACTCCTTGTTTATTTTCTCTCAATCTCAAAATCAGAAGTGGTAACTTGGTTGGAGTGAAAGGTGCCATCGGTGCTGGCAAGTCAACCCTATTAGCTGCCATTCTTGGTGAGATCAATCTTATTAGTGGAAAACTTCGACTATACGTTAATTCAATTTCCTACGCTCCACAATCGGCGTGGATCTTTGCTGACACTATTCGAGCTAATATTCTTCTTGGCAAACCAATGGATGAAGAACGTTACCAGAATGTAATTAAGGCATGTTGTCTTGATGTCGATCTACAGGATTTTGGTGAAGTCGGTGATTTATTAATGATTGGTGATAAAGGTATCAATTTGAGTGGAGGACAAAAAGCTCGAATATCACTGGCTCGTGCTCTCTATGTTGATGCTGACTTATATTTACTCGACGATCCACTTGCTGCCGTTGATTCAAAAGTAGCAAAGAACATTTTTGATCAATGCATCGGTTCTCGTAGTCTCCTCTGTGGAAAGACTCGAATATTAGTTACACATCAGACACATTTTTTAGTTGAAGCAGATCAAATGATTCTCTTGACAAATGGTCACATTAATGAATTACATATTGAACAACCTGTTGAAAATAAGTCATCGAATGATACATCACAAACAGATTTATCGAACGATACATCGGAAACAGACTCATCGAACGGCAATGAGACAGACTGGACACTTAACACTGCTCTAACTGATATGAATTCGATTGTAAAACGTGAGACATCAAGTGATGGTGCCATCAAATGGAGTGTTTGGTTACAACTGTTCACTTCGCCACCTTTACGTTGGTTTGGCTTTTTTCTTATGATAATTCTTATGCTTAGCAATGAAGCTCTATATGACTTTACAAATAGTTGGCTTTCTCTGTGGTCTAGTAAAGATGAAAGAGAACAACGATCATCATTTTATGCTTACGTCTATCTTGGAGTTATACTTGCTACATTGATCGTTGCATTAATACGTACCGGCTATATCTTCTATATCATGTTGCGTGGTTCGACCCATTTTCATAATCGAATGCTCAAAGGTATCTTGTATACTTCGTTACGTTTCTTTGAAAGTAATCCAAGTGGACGAATATTGAATCGAGCAAGCAAAGATCAACAAGCGTTAGATGAATCTTTACCTCTGAGTTTAATTGATGCTATGCAATATTTACTAATGACTCTTGGTTCTATTGTAATCATTGGAATTACCAACCAGTGGGTGCTTCTAATTCTCATTCCTTTGGTCCCCATAGTTTTGTGGCTTCGTAGATTTTATATGCGTTCGAGTCGTCAACTTAAACGACTAGAAAGCGTAACGCGTAGTCCAATTTATGCATTGTTCTCGTCGTCATTAGACGGACTCACTAGTATTCGTGCATTTGACGTTCAAGACGGTTTTTTGAATATGTTCATGGAAAGAATCGATACCAATTCACGAGCTTACTTTATTCTCTTTGCCACTACACGTTGGTTCGGTTTACGGCTCGATATGATAACATCCTTACTCACTTTAGCTACTGCTATTCTTGCAGTAGCTTTGCGCCATCAACTCGATCCATCGGCAGCAGCACTCAGTATCAGCTATTGTATCACTTTAACAGCTCTATTTCAATGGGCTATGCGACAATCAGCCGAAGCTGAAAATTTCATGACCAGTGCAGAACGCATTCATGAATATGGTCAACTAGTACCAGAAAGGGATCAGAACAGTAGTAAAAACGGTGTACTCATTCAACCAACAGATGATTGGCCTTCTCACGGTATTATCGAATTTAAAGACTATACTTTTCGCTATCGACCAGAACTCGATCCTGTGCTCAAAAATCTTAATCTACGAGTTGAGTCCAAGGAAAAGATTGGAGTTATTGGTCGGACAGGTATGATTACTACACTTCTCGGAATATATGTGTTGAGCATTCCTAATGAGAAGATAGGAAATCGGTCGAACATGGATAGGTATAAACAGAAGAAAGATGCTGATGTTGATGTTTCCTTCTATTATCGAAAATCCATGGTTGAAAGTAATTCTGTTATGTTTCTATTTCTCTATTTAAATCAAACTATTTGAGGCATGCTTTCCTATTCCCAATGCATGATTGTACCAATGAAAGAAGTTTGACCGAATATGATCATAGCGAACAATTTTCGAAATACTTATGGCATATCAAGTTCATTGGATATAATCCGTTTTGATTTTCTGGTACTTTCTCAGCTGTTGTTTATTTTTCGAAATATATACGTAAAAGTCGTGAAATTGTTCTTTAATGCAAAGTCCAGTGGGTCGACCGAAGATTGGCGGATCCAAAGACATAACTATAAAAAGGGCTACGAATTGGATTACTGTAAATGGTCATTGTTTAGGAAATCTGCATATCAATATAGAATAGCACGCGGTACAACATAGCCTTGGCGAAGATTCAAGGAAGTGGAGAACTCTTCTTACAGGATTTGTGTAATTCAAAAAATTTTTCTGACGAGGGAACATTTTCAACTGATTAATCACTTTTGATGTTGGGCTCTGTACATAAGGTAGACTTCAGTGAGGAATGAAAAACCTCAAGATAATAAGTGTCCTTAAGACTTCTCTCCAGAGTTATAGGCATTTCACTGGAATTTGTGAGTGGAATATCTTGAAAATTTCAACTCAAAAGAGTTTTTTCCTTTCGAGATATTAAAGTCCCAAAAACTACTTATATCCCATAAAATATGCTAGAATTTTCTGTTTTTTTTTAGAGACTTTAATATCTCGGGAAGAAAATATTCTTTTGAGCTGAAATTTTCAGGGCATTCTATTCACAAGTAGACCTATCCGTGGGCAAAACTTCAGGTCGAAACATTGTCATTCGATTTGTTAGTACCTATCATACTATAGACTAAAGTTCCAGTAAAATGCCTGTAACCCTGGACAAAAGATCTAAAGGCACTTATGCTTTTGCGGTTTTTCATACATCACTAGGGTCTACTTGATGCACAGAGCCCAAATTCAAAAATGATTAATCAGTTGAATGCGTTCCTTCGTGAGCGTCCTTAGAGCTCCTCTTGCGAGGAGAAATTTCCTAGTAGTGTACTGGTTTTTTTTGAAAAAAAAGCCAATTATTCTGTGCGTCCAATTTAAGCAATTATAAAAATTTTAACAAGGTTTATCCTGTGGGACCTTTCTTTTTGGATTCTGATCCTTTCACATAATGGACAAGTCATGTACTCTCTGTATTCCCAACAATACAGCAGTCGGTAGTGCCTAATTGTTAGTATGCACAAGTGAGGTTATACTATGTAATGTGGTCTAGTGTTTCTTACTCGTTTTTGTATCTTTTTGTAGGACTAAAGAAGCGCTTTCGAGTAATAGGAGGTGTTTAAATAGTAGGTACATGCCATATGGCACTTATTCTGCCAGTAACTAACTTTGAACACTTAATTGAAGTGATTTGTTGATAAGAAACTATGTTTTTCGAACGAAGCACTTCATCCGTCATTGTCCCTGCTCTTATCAAGGAGATCTTTTCAGTGACTAGCACGAAAGAAAATTTCACCATTTTATGAAGAATATTTTACTGCGTGCATTTATAATATACAGTGTATGCCTAAAGGACCTGGAGTATTAGAATCAGTGATTACTTCTTGACAGAATTTGTTTATCATTATCTACTTTTTGTTTATGTAGGTGCTGGAAAGTCATCACTTCTTCAAGCTCTATTTCGACTGGTCAATCAATCAGCAATCAACGGAACCATTCTCATCGACGACATCGATATTGGATGTCTTTCACTCGATCATCTTCGTTCTCATCTAAGTGTTATTCCACAAGTACCAATACTCTTTTGCGGTACACTTCGATACAATATTGATCCATTCAAACAATTCTCAGATGAGGAATGTCTTATAGCACTTGAAACTGTTCAACTCAGCAAATTGGTGCGCAATCATCCCGATGGACTCCATATGCTAGTCACAGAATTGGGTACTAATCTGAGTGCTGGTGAACGCCAACTGGTTTGTGTAGCTCGAGCTATTCTGAAGAAGAGCCGCATATTACTTATTGATGAAGCTACTGCAAATGTTGACCATACAACCGATAGGATGATTCAAGATGTTATTGCTGACAAATTTCGTGATTGTACCATATTAACAATTGCACATCGATTGAATACGGTAGTCAATAGTAATCGTATTCTTATGTTACAACGGGGAGAAGTAGCCTATTTTGGTGTTCCCAATAATATCGATCTATCTCAAGATGATACACAAAACTAACTTGATTCTTATAACTGTATGCCATAGATTATTGTATTAATCCAAAGCTTTTCACTCGCTATTTTCGTCTGTAGACATTAATGTTGGTATTATTTTTGTCTGTCAAGATGTTGAAAGTTCTAAAAAATGAGTACGATCTCGTTTCTGACTAAATGAGACAACTTTGAAACGATTGCATCAACTATTCAAAACATCTCTTTTTTCTGGCAGAAAGATCTAAAAAGTTTGAATGATCTGATTTTTTCAAAAAATATGAATACTTTACAAGAGATTCAAACTTCTTTCTACACTGTTCTTTTGATGTATTCAATCCATAATCTCTCAGAATGATGTTGGCCGTTCTGGAAATCGACCTACATTTTTCTTTAACAGTTGCAGCCAAGATTTTTATCTTCTTTACTGAGTAATGAGTTAATGAAGACAAGGCTGATTTGTTTTTAAATGTTATATTGCAACTAAAAAACTTCTTTCTTTACTGAAGTCTTAACATTTCTGTCGAATATCGGATTCCTACTTTAATAGAAATGTCGAAATTTTTGTTAAAAGCAATGTTCTCATTGATGATGACACGTGAGAAAACTTGCGTTAATTCTTTGTAGTTCGTTATCCACCAAATACAATAAGAGTCTTACCTGTAGGAAAATCAGTTTAGTCTCCAAACTGATCTTTTCTATGGAATGCCAAACAGCTAATATTTCTGGATTCGATCCAAATTCATTTTAGAATCAGTTCTAAGTGTCAAATTCGAAAACGATAGGGTAAAATTATAAAAGAATAAAATAATTATCCATTTCGAAAAGTCAGATTCTCCAATTTGTCAAGTCTTTTCAATGTGAAAAATGTTGGGTGTAAGTGTGAGATAAGGATGTGGGTGTGAGTGTGAGTGTGGATATTGGATTGAAATTAACATCTACATCAACACCCCATACCTACAGTCACACCCGAACTCACACCCACACCCACCTACACATCATACACACAGCCACAGTCATACTCACCCACATTCACACCCCATACCCACAGCCACATCCACCCACACCCGCACGTCACACTCTAAATCTTTACTAAAATCTTCTGTTTGTTTTCCTGATAAATGGTAGTATTATTTTCGGATCTTTGATATTGTTCAGAAGAAAATTCAGGTATTGAAAGTAAACATTTATTTTTTCATAAATCAGATAACGCAACTGATCCGGCTCATGTTGATAAAAGCATTCTAACACAAAGTAAATCAACAGAATAAAATTAAATAAATTTTAAAAAAAGAACAAACGATGCAGCTGGTCTTAAAATAGTTGTTGATGATTCCTGAAGTGAAGATTTTTCTGTTATTTCTGTAATATATGTTTTACTTGAACTAATACATGAATAAAGTTGTGTGCGATCTTAAAACAGCGTTACCATATTTCAAATTTTTAAGCATGGAACACTCGCTTTTTTTGCAACGAAGTTGACAATCTAGAAAGTTTGTTTTTATTCTCTTAGATAACAAATGAAAATTATCTTTGAGTGAAGGATATGACTTTTTCTTAGTTGAGAACAACTTCAATTTATTTAGTGAGGTCAAAAATAGTAATAGAATTTATTTTGATTATTGGAATGAAAAAATCGATTTGTATCACTAAAGCAAGAAATGATCGTATTTCAATGGACCGAAGATCCACATCCAAGAGAAAAACATTTTCAAAAGAACAGAAAAGTTTGCTAATAAAAAAGGAATATCAGTTTATCTCTTATCTATATATAATAGATTTGTTCATTTGCTTTAAATTTATTCAAATCTCTCTTGTATTTATCGGAATGAATCAGCGCATATGAAAAGAAAAATGTTGTACAGAACAGAAAAGTCTGCTGGAAGAAAGAAATATTTACTGCTAGAGTATATATATTTTACATTTTCTATAACTACTGATATACGTGATATTTCATTAGGTATGCAAAGTCCCATATATTCTTAGCAGACTTTAAATAAAATGGACATTTTTTGGATCTGTAACATTGCTAAACAGATGAAGAGGATAGATATATATTAGAGAGTAGATTAAGGCAATATATTAAGAAAATAGATTAAGGGATTAGATTAATGTGGTAGATATAGATTGCAGAGTTAGAATAAATATTTATATCGAAGAAATATTGGAGGAGTTAGATAGAGCGGAGAGATTAAAGGAATATCTTTAGAGGATAGAATAAGAAATAGACTAATGAATTAAAGTAAGGAGTTAATTTGAAGGAATAGATTAAGAAGATAGATGTAGACTTGGAGGAATAAATTTAGCGAGATAGGTTTTGTAGAACAAATGTATATACAAGAAGATAGTTACTAAAGTAGTAATGTGAACCTAGTCAGATGGATTGATATAGATTTAGTGAGATTGCATTGAAATGCGGACGAAATTTGACTAGGAAACCCCATTTGAAATCAAGTGAGAATGTTTTGTACGAAACATGATTTTTTCGGTGTACTCGTTCAGGCGCTGTTGGCACGATTCATCATTCTCATGAACACTTTCAGAGTCCCTTCCATAAATGCTTGGCACGTTTTTTGATGCATATGAATCCTGTGGTATACTTGTTCATTGACTCTTGGTACGATATATCATATTCATGAACTCTCTGAGATAGATTTTTAATAATCGGTTTAAAGGTTATTCGAAAGCTTTTAGGAAACTCATGTACTTTTACAAAAGGTTTATGGAAGTGTAATGTATAGCAAACTCTTTAAATAAAAGATGGTATAACGGTTATTACTCATCACTCGAAAAGAATGAAATACAAAAAAAAAGAGAATGAGTCTCGACTTGCATTCGAATCCAGATAGTATCACAACTGTTAAGTATTCAGATGCTTTTACCAACTCAGCTATTGAAACGTAGTCGTAACTCAAATTCAAATTCAATGTGAACATTTATTTAATCTTTTTTTTTGGAGTAATATTATGAATCGAGAGTCCGTTGTACGACGATTAATTCTAATCGATCTCGACAATTGAGAATTTGAAATATGTCTGCCTATGACCATTGAATTGAATGGTATATAATTGTATATAAAAGTAGATGACAGAACTTTTTTATTCTTTATTGGAATAAAAGATGATATAATTGCTGTTATTCATCAATCGAAAAGAATGAAACTCAAAGAAAAGAAAATGAGTCTCGACTGAACTTCGAGTCCAGGTAGTATCACAGCTGGTAACTAGTCAGATGCTTTCACCAACTAAGCTATTGAGACGTAGTCGTAATTCATTTTCAAATTCAATGTGAACATTTGTATTAATCTTTTCGAGTGATGAATAAAAGCAGTTATACGAAATTTTATTCAAATAATGAATAAAAAAGTTCTGTCATCTACATTTATATATAATTATGTATGATTCAATTCAACAGGAATAGACAGGCGTATTTCAAATCCTCAATTATCGACGTCGATTAGAATTAGTCATCGTACAACGGACTCTCGATTCGTAATATTACTCCAAAAAAAAAAAAGATTAAATAAATGTTCACATTCAATTTGAATCTGAGTTAAGGCTATATTCCAATAGCTTACTTCGCACAAGCATCTAGCTAGTTACCAGTTGTGATACTAAGATGCACGCAATTCAAATTTCAAGTAATTTTTTTTCGCGTTTTTTACGTCATCTGATAGAGTAGGGGGTGCTGATCACAAAAATCTACTTTTAGCCTTAGAAAATACTTTCTTCCGGCCGAAAAATACGAAATACTCGAGAGGTGTCGTTTTTCGAGAAAAACACATCCTTTGCAAAAAATGTGTAAAATTTTCTATTTTGTTCTTTTTTTTGCTTCTGAAAATAAACTTTTTGGATTCAGCATCAAAAATTGAATATACATGAGTTATTAAATCGACTCCTGACCCAAAACTCTATTGGTGGGGTGCTTCGAATCGCGTCGAGTGCACCACGTATAGGTCGATTTTCTAAAGTTCTCTAGTTTTTCTACATAAGCGATGAAGCCAAATATTTTGTCTCATTCTATTTATCATACCACCTTTCAACTACCCTAGTATCGGTTTTTTTTCTTTCCTTTTCTTTGTTGAGGAAATCCAGTTTTTCTGGATTTGGGGTAAGATAGGCAGTTTATGCGGTTAAATTTAAGAAGATAGTTTTTGGCGAACAAGCATATATATCGGAAGATAGTTATAAATATAGTAGTGTAGATATAGTCGGATGAATTAGTATAGATTAAGTGATATTGTATTGGAATCCGGACAAAATTTGCGTACGAGATCTTGTTTGACATCACATGAGAGTGGTTTTGTACGAAACCTTTTGTTCAGAAAATGAAGGAATTTAATGCTGATAGCATCCAAAAAAAGACCAAAGAATTCTCCAGATAATCACAAAAGTAACGGGGTATTTTTCTAATTCTAGAAGATCCCCTCATGTGTGTACGAGTGTGGGATATGAGTCAAACGAATAAATGTCCGAAGCTCAAATCAACTTTACAGCCACACCGAAAATTGACCGAATTAGGAAACATTTTTGTTGACCTGAAAGTTTCTGAATTTCTCAATTGTCTGCAGACTGGTTCTTGTGAGATGCGGTAGTTACCGGAGTTCGGTCTCAACAATAGGGTCATAGATCCATTCGATACGCTCGAATCTTTGATACATAGGAAGCTTTATAATGGAATTCAACTATCGAAGAATTTTATAAGAACATTTGCCCGCATGATCAACCCTTTATATCTGCGCCACGGCATCAGGACACGCAGCGCTTCCGCAAGAGTCGTGATCCATGCTCGCCTCTGTGTACATAGTGAAGTGTACTCTTATTTTATGTTTTGAGAGTAGGGTGCGGATGAGTGTGTAGGTGTGGGATTGATGTGAGTGTCGAAAAATCCATTCGTTTGATCCACACCCCACATCTACACCAACATGAGAGTATCTTTCACCATTAGAAAAAAGTTACCCGCATTCCCTTCATCACTTCTCACGAGAGAACTGCTCCAAGTGATAAATCGTTCCTAAGCTCAGACTGT